GAGAACATTGTGACTAGAAGAAATGTTACCAGAGCTCTCTTGTGTTATGGCCCACAACAAACTAGGGCAGGCTGTCAGGGGAGCAGCACATCCCACTGCTCTGGGAGGAGCAGCTGGCCCGGTCGGGAGTCTCGGAAATCTCCAAGGGTAGCCATCAATTCCAAAGAGTTCTGTGAAGAGCAGGGAGAGGCCGCTGCTCCCCTTGCACTGCGTTGGGCTCCTCGCCGCAGCTGCCAGCCTGCCCACTGTGCAGCAACGTGGTCAAAAAATGCGAGGGGGGGCACAGGCCAGAGCTGGCGAGCCCCGAGCCGTTCGCAGCCCAGTGGGGACTCCGCACTTCGCCCTCACAACGGGAGCCCCCAGGGGTGGCAAGCCTGCTGGAGGCGCTTATCTGGAGCCAGAGCAGGCGCACACAGGCAGGCCTCGCTCCCACTCTGGACTGGGCTCTCACCTCGCGCCTGCCCAGCAGGCTGGACTGACAAACCACCTTGTCCTGTTACTCCTGGGGTTGGCGGGGGGAGACGGGAGCTTGGCCCCCTTCCTGCTGCCCTCCACAGGGGACAGCGACCGGGGCATTTGTCTCTTCTCCTCTCGAGTCCCACCTCTCCTGTGTCAGCCCTGCCCTGGGGGGGCGCAGTAGGGAAAGGACACTGTTGGTAACAAGGATTTCCCGGGTCTACATGGCAACGATGAGCCGGGCTCCCCACGTGTGGGTGCTCAGCCCCTCTGGCAGGTGGGCCTGGGCACAGCAGGTGTGAGAACTGCTCTGCCAAGGGAAGATCCTCCACTCACAGGCCAGCAACAGGAGCAACCCCATGGGGCAGACAGGTCCCGGGAGCCCCCCCACCCGGGGAGCTGGCACCAGCCTGAGACAAAATCCTCCCCCACTCTTTGGGTGCAGGTTGGTGGAGCGACTTGTCAGGGAGGGACTCCCGGGGAATAGAGGGGCTGCCCTTTGTGAAGTGGGAGGGAAGAAAGGGGGAATACCCTGGCTGGCTGGAGGAGAGAAAACCCCAGAGAGCTAAAGACAGTCTGATGATCCCTTTGCTCAGGTCCCTGTGTTTCCCTGTGTGACTGGTCTGGAGCACTGGGGAACCGGCTGGGCCATTTGCTGGTACTGAGGGAAGAGTGACAGCTGTCCATGGGGAGGTGGACTGGCCGAGATTCGGGAACCTTAGCCGAGATGAGAGGGGACCACCGAAGGGCATGGGAGTCAGGTACAGTGGTCAGGAGTTGGCATTGCTGCAGCCGGAGACAGACAGTGTGTGCCGATGGGCTGTCAGCGGAGGAAGGGCGTGACTGCTTTTGTCACACTGCTGAGACCCAGGCCAGCTGGGCTATTGGCAGGCGTTGTGGTGTGAGTGTGGGAAGGCTGGGTGGGAATTGCCCTGCCGCAGAGAGAGATGGAGACACTTCTCAGGAAGTCACACGCAGCTGCTATTTATTGCTCCTTCCCACACTAGCGCTAGGGAAGGGGCTGAGAACGCCCTTGTGGAGCGGCTCCACCTGACGCATGCCAGTCCCACCGCAGGCACCGTGTGAAGGAACCATGGGTGGCTCTGGCTGGGTTCTGGGCACTGTCACAAGGCAGGCATGCACACCAGCCTGCAAGCACCGCTCCTGGGACTGGCTGGCCAGCGGAGGTGGGTTCACTGCCTCTTTTGCAGATGATCCCAGAGCAAGGGGTGAGGAGGTGGGCTTGTCCTGCCCGTGCCTATCATGGGGAGTACAGCTCTCCCCTCCCTCTTCACTGTGGGGCTGCAGAGTCACCAATGTGTGGGTAGCACTCTGGTCTGCATCAGACACAGCAGTGTCTGTGCTCTGCTGCATCCTGCCAGGCTGGGGAAGGATTTCTCCCCTGGCTGAGGAAGCTCTGCAACCCCCTCCTGCTTCCTGCACCCATCGCTCCTCAGCTGCAGGGGGAGGGATACCTGTACATGGAGCTGCTGCCCCATCTGCCCAACCCCTGTGCATCCAGATCCCCTCATACCCAGATCCTCCCACCAAGCCTCACCCCCCTGCACTCAGAACCCCACGAGGAGCCCACTCCCCCTGCACCTGGACCACAGGGACGAGCCACCCACACCCGGATCCCCACTCCACCAAACCCCAACCTGAATCCCCACCCCACTGAGTCCCACTCCCCCAGCATCTGGACCCCCCCCCCCCACTGAGTCCCCCACACCCAGACCCCCCCGTGCAGAGCTCTATCCCCTCTACACCCAACCCTGCTGAGCCCCAACCAGCTGCATTCACCTGGACCCCCCTGCAGAGTCCCATTACCATTGCACCCAGAACCCTCCAACAAGCCCCTGTGCATCCAGATCCCCCCCATACCTAGATCCCCCACTGAGCCGCCCAAACACAGGTTGCCCCATGCAGAACCCTCTGAACCCATGCATGGATCCCCCCACACTAAGCTCCTCCACACTTGGATCCTGCCTTGCTGAGCCTGCCTGCCCACACCTGGTGCACCTGGCTTGGAGGGGCAGGGCCCCGAGGTGCTTCTGGGGCAGGCCCAGTCCTTGCACTGTGTCAGGCTTGGGTGCAGCCTCATTACTGAGTCGGGGTCTGTACAGTGATCTCCCACCTATGTGCAGCCAGTGGCCTGTGCTCCCCAATGCCATGCTGGAGCCTCCCCATTTATTTGACAAATACAATTTGCAGAATTTTAAAATATTGTGCGCAGAATTTTAATTTTTTTGGTGCAGAATTTTTAATTTTTTGGTGCACAATGCCCTCAGGAGTAAATGGGTTGGATTGGGAAGTCAGCTGGGATCCATGCCCCAACCTTTGCAAACATAACCAAAGTTATATACATAGAGCCGCCACAGCCTAGATGCCCCAGAGTGATCCACTACAGTGACCCGCTACAGCAGGGCTTGCATATTTGTTATCAAGGAGAAACAGATTTGGAAGGGAATTGCCTGGCTCTTTGGGAGGATTCGGAGCACAAAAGACAATTAAAAAGCAGGCCTGCTAGTGAGTAAAACCTGTTGTTTGCTAGTGCCTGTTAACTCAGTAGGTGTCACTGGAGGCACATGGAACAAACAGCCTGCAGGCGAAAGGGCATGAAAATCAGGCGGATAAGAACACACTGTGGGTCCTTTACTGCACTGTGGGGAGCTGGCGCGTACGCTGGCAGACCAGGCTCATGACTTGGCTCCATCACCCGGTGACCTTGGGAGTTCCCCATTGCAGGGTCTGGCCTCACCACAACTCCATTCTCCGGAACTACTGTTGGCAGGGGAAGCCACCAAGCCGCCTCCAGCCCCAGCTGAGGGCGGGCTCCACCCAGGTTCTGTGAAACATTTCAGCGAGTGACACTGGCTGGCGGCACAGGTGATGGACAGGTGTTTGCATAGCTCAGCCAGCCAGTTCACTTACTGTTCTGGGGGACACATGGCGCCTCTGGGGAGCACATCGCATTTCAGAGTGAAAGGGAGCTCTGGGAGGCTGGTCAACTAATCCTTCACTCTGCCGAGCTTCCTAGCCCCCGGGCAGGGGGAGGAGCCGGCAGCACAGCTGCCACCCTGGCTTGCCCGGAGGAGCATGTTGAGACAATGAGGCACAATAGATGCTGTGGCTGCAAGGCTTGTGTACGAGAAGTGACGGACTCAAGGAGGACTGGCCTGGTGAAATGTCCAGATGTGTAACAGGATGTAGAGGCCAGGTTATTAGCAGTAATGATCACTGTGGTGGAGTGGTAGGGAAAGCCTCCAGTACAAATGGAGACTTGTCAAAGTGTCTGTTCTAGCAGCAGCAATGACAACCACAGAACAGGCTCCAGAGCGGCAGCCGTGTTAGTCTGTATCAGCAAAAAAAACGAGGAGGACGTGTGGCACCTTGGAGACTAACATAAGCTTTTGTGGGCTAAAACCCACATCTTCAGATGCATGCTGTGGAAAATACTGTATTTTCCACAGCACGTATCTGATGAAGTGGGTTTTAGCCCACGAAAGCTTATACCCAAATAAATTGGTTAGTCTCTAAGGTGCCACAACTACAGAACAGGTACTATCCCCATGTCGATCCCAACGCATTGCTTTCAGCTACTTAGAACTTTCCAGAACTATTAGCTTCCCAGGTCTGGTCTTTTCCTGAACATTCCCCCCCACCCTCCCAAGTTTGAGAAAACTGGATTGTCCAGCTGCGGGTGTGAGATTAACGCTAACAATAAAACAGTTCTCCAACCTCTCTTTGAAAAGCTCTAGCACTCCAATGGCTGAGAGCAGGAAATGGAAATCTGGCAGGGAAATAGCTTCCCTTCATTTGCAAATTGGATACTGTTAACTTAGGCTTGAATAGAGACTGGGAGTGGCTAAGTCATTATGCGAGGTAACCTATTTCCCCTTGTTTTTTCCTACCCCCCCCCCCGCCCCCCTCAGACGTTCTTGTTAAACTCTGGATTTGTGCTGGAAATGGCCCACCTTGATTATCATACACAATGTAAGGAGAGTGATCACTTTAGATAAGCTATTACCAGCAGGAGAGTGGGGTGGGGGGAGAGAAAACCTTTTGTAGTGGTAAACACACATTTTTTCATGGTTTGTGTGTATAGAAAGATCTTATGTACTTTCCACAGTATGCATCCGATGAAGTGAGCTGTAGCTCACGAAAGCTTATGCTCAAATAAATTGGTTAGTCTCTAAGGTGCCACAAGTACTCCTTTTCTTTCCTTCAGAAGTGCCTTTGCAAGAAATGAGGTAGAGATTATGGCATAGAAAGGAAAGGACATGAGAATGGAACACGAAGTCACGAGCGGGAGAAGATACCAGACAAAGACCTTCCAACATGTGAGATGTGAGCGGACAATAAGATGTGACCAGATAAGGGCCTTTAGGGTGAGCAGCCTTCTCTCCACCCCCATTTCTGGGCTTTGGAGACTTTCGCTAAGCAACGTTAGTCCCCTCAGTTTTATCACCTGACTGAGGGTGGAGTAGGGCACTGTTCAGCTGAACGCGTAACTCAGAGTGAACAGATGGCTCCAGATGCAGCTAGCAGAAGTAGACTTTTTTTTTTAATGGCGTAACAGAGTTTAGTCGGGAAAACTGAATTCAAGATTTAAGCCACAAAGCTCTCTGGGCCACAGTGTCCATTCACAATAGTGCTCAATGGAGGGTAGTGAAGGGTAAGATTATCCTATTAGGAACCATTGCTGCAAGACTTGCCCCACACATTTTCAATTTGTCCTTGCAAAAAAGGCGGGAGCTGTGGGGGCCCCAGAGTCCTGAGCTAGCTTCTGAAGCCATATCAGTGCATGACACCTGGCTGGGGCCAGCAGACTAGTTAGCTGAAGTCTGATATAATCGCAGCAGAAAGGCTCTTCTTTTGGCGCATCACATCTTTGGAGCTGCCATGATCTTTCAAAGGCCTGATAGACGTCTTCCCAGCAACATCCCATCACGGTATCACTGAAAGCCAAGCTGCAGCCTTGCAACGTTAGCTGAAGCCTTTCAGCATAGATTGGTAGTGACCAGATGTTCTTACATTTGACTTCTGCTCTCTGGCCTATGAAATGAGTTGGTGCCTCCATCCAGTTCCTGCTGGACCGGCTTCCACAGAGGTGAAGTAGCCAGTTAGCCTGAGCACTGACCTGCCCAAGGCGGGTAGCTCCACAGTACGTTGAAGCAAATCAGCATGTACGTTGACTGGCAAATGCCCACGGCCCGGGCTGTGCTTGTTCAGTGAACGGATAGGCCCTCAATCCAGCACCTGCAAGCAAAACACAAACACACATGAAATGTCCCAGGTGACTCAAACAGCTGCTTGGAAGAGCTGGAGGATAATATTTTTGCAGAGAAGTTGAAAATTATTGCACCATGTGTCATGATTGCCATGGAAATGTTTTATTAATAAATCCAAGTGGAGACAGCAGAAAGCTTGATCCGGGAATCATGTTTACTGGGAGGCTGGGGGTAGGGAGAGGGAAGCAACCTCTGGCTGCAGGTCCCTCACAGCAGGACAGTAATGGTAATGATCTCAAGTTGCAGTGGGGGAGGTTTAGGTTGGATATTAGGAAAAACTTTTTCACTAGGAGGGTGGTGAAACACTGGAATGGGTTACCCATGGAGGTGGTGGAATCTCCTTCCTTAGAGGTTTTTAAGGTCAGGCTTGAGAAAGCCCTGGCTGGGATGGTTTAGTTGGGGATTGGTCCTGCTGGTCCTGCTTTGAGCAGGGGGTTGGACTAGATGACCTCCTGAGGTCCCTTTCAACCCTGATATTCTATGGTTCCATGAGTGTGGGATGCCATGAGGATTGCCTGCCCACACCCTTTGCTGTGCCCCAGAAGACCACTCAGCCTCTTAGTCCAGACGTGTGGAAAGCAAAGGGGACAAAACCACCACTGATTCCGGGCTGCAAGAATGTTCATCTGTCCATCCTTTTCCCAGAGATCTCTTTGGGACTGGTCTTCCCTGAAGGTTCGGTAAGTTAGCCAGGTGTCCGCCTCCATTGCGTGTCACTCGTCATTCCTTAGCACAAAGGAAAGACTGCTCCTAAATCAAATCCCAAGAGAGGGGAATTCCCACTATGCATAGCGAGGACCCATCCTTGCCAAGACAGAAGCCCCTCTCTGAAAGGGGTAGGGCCTCTAAGGAATCCCACACTTACCTGCTGACAGCCCTAGATCATTACTAACAGCAATAAGAGATGTGCACTGTTCCCCATCTCCATCCTGCTTCCCACTTACAGAGAACAGCTGCATAGGGACTGGCAGCATGTGCGTAGCCCTTGCTGTGCCTTGACCAGATCTCTCCCACCTAGTGCCGGGTTTACAATAGCGCCAGTGGCTCCATGGAGCCAGGCCCAGGCTCAGAAGGGGCCCCGGCCTGCTCCGCTTGCACTGAGCCCCGAGACCCCGCTGGCTCCCCACCCCCGCCCATCATTTGTTCCTCTCAGCCTGCTCAGCAGCCAGCCAAGGGCTCCTCTCCACCCCGTGGCCCCCCTGCCAGCTTCTCTCTGCCCCCTGGCCGGACCCCAGTGCATCTTCAGCTGCAGGCCTGTGGGGCCCCACTTGTCTCCCTGGAGCTGAGCTGCCTGGGACTGATGCAGAAGCCTGGCCAATCTCGGCCGGTTAGGGAGGGCAGTTGGGGGGGAGGGGGGGCTTGTCTGGGCCCCTCCAGGCAAATGGGTCCTGACAGAGCCCGGCAGGGGCAGATCCTGGCCTGGCTGATCGTGCCACTTCTGAGGGGCCGGAGTGATTCCCCACCCCAGGTCCAGCTCTGGCTGCACTGGCGGTTCAGCCCAACAGACACAGTCAACTCCCAGCAGGTCCGGTAAGTGGGGCCGGGAGGCAGGGCTTGGGGGAGTAGGTCTCTAGAGGGCCTGGCCGGGGCAGGTGGGGGTGTGCTGGGCTGTGTGTTGGGGCACAAGGGAGTGGGGGATCTGTGGTGTTGTGCTGGGCGCTGTGCATTTGTGGCAGGGTCTGGGGGGGAGGCGCTGGGCATAGCGGGTCCGGAATAGGTCATAGGGAATCGGGGGGGGGGGAGGGGTTGTTCTGGTGTTGGGCAGGGGGGCTGTGTGGCATGGCATGGGCCCACCCCCGAGGGGAAGGGGCACGCTGGCAGCACAGGGCTGGGTGGGCCATCGTGCATCTGGCAACTGCTGGTTTGTAAATAGTGCCCTGCACTGGGCGGAGCGGGGCTGCCCCTGCCATGCCATATTGCCCGACTGGCTCCTCGCTCTGGGGACCGACACCCCCCACCCCATGCTCGATGCACCATTGCCCCCCCCCCGGGGGGGCCCACAAATATGTTTGGCACCAGGCCCACCAAAGGTTAATCCGGCCCTGCTCCCACCATGAGAGAAACATCTTTAGGCCTGGAACCTGAGCGGTTGAAAGTGGCAGTTCCAAAAAGCCATGGCAGGGTATTATCAATTGATGTGAATTATCTTAATGGATTAATCTATTTCTGTTACAAATTCAGTCAGATGCCTGTAGCTCCCTCTTTACTGCCATTGGGCAGGGCCCCTCAAAATGTGAGGATTCCAGTCTGTGTGACGGAGTTTTTCAGTATTATCCAGGAGTACATAACATCCAGCATGTTATCCTCTACGGGTGCGTTCCTGCTTTAACCACAGCTCTGCCTCCGAGCCGGCTGCACCAGGACAGAACTCACTAATCTAATCTAGCTGGCTGAAGCCAGAACCTAATTCCAAGCCTGGTAGCTGGACCCAGACTCGTTACCAAATGCCCAAAGCCCAGTGGAGACTGGAGGTACCTTTCTAGGTGCCTGGAGCTCATGGTTTCTCTAAACGTTACCTTTTTCCTGTCCAGATTTTTATTGCTGATGCCGTTGCTCTTCTAGCCATTTAGTGCCTGGGATTGACACTAACATAGGAAGTGAGAAGCAGGAAGAGAAAATAATGCTACTGTTCCCTCCATTTCAAAGAGGGAAACAAAGGTCAAAAGTCTACGAGAGATGTCATCACCCCAGGGCACCGGGGTTTGGTGAATCAGAGACACACAGGGCTATCCTAAGGGGCCCATGAGTGGCAAGAACAGGTTTCTAGAACCAGAAACACCTCTATATGATTGCCTGAGCATTGCTTTCCAAGTCTGTGATCTCAGCACAAATGTCTCCCTAAACCGGTCAGTAACATTTAGTTAACCATTTCTCCTACATAATCTTGCTGTTTATACATTAATCCTTGTAAAAGTCTGGTAGTGAATTAGGAGCAACTGACCTGTATTTGACAGCCCGCCTGATCTCCTGCTGGCAGGAGAAAAGCAGCATATGACACCCTCACTTCACGCTGGGCTGGCGGCCTAGCTTGCACTTTAAAGGATGAAACTGCCAGGAACTGTAGCTGCAGGGTCAGGGGAAGTCTACAGCCACTGCAGAACCAAGCCAGGGAGCGCAGAGCATGGGACAGGCTCTTCCCAGAGCTGGGAGCAACAGGACGTGTACACCTTCCCTCCTGACGCGACACATCATTGGCTCCCAAGATGTAATCCATCTAGATACCAAGGTGTCAGTGTGTCCCTGCTTGCTGTTGTCTCTGAGTGCCTTACAATACCTCTGAGGGAGATGCCACTGGTCCCAGAGATGTGACTATGTGACCTTGGGCAAGAGTCTGTGGTGAGATGGAAAGTGACCCTAGGTCTCCAGTTCCAGGCTAGTGTCTAACCACTGGGCCATGCTGCCTTCCTCAGATCACCAGTGGCCTCTGGGGCACTTGCAGGTTGTCAATGGCGAGCTGGCTGGTCACATGGTATGCACCTGTTTGCATCTGCTGCCCCACATCCCTATCGGATGTCATTTCTTCCCCAGGAGGAGGGCAGGAGGTCACTGCAGCCCCAAATGGGAAGGGACGTGCCCAGGCCATGAGGCGGCAAGCCACCAACAACTGGAATTTAGATGACAGCCCACATTGGTGAAGTTCAGCCAGCCAGGCTCCCAGTACCTATCACAGTTTGGAGTCTCTGCCCTGGCTCGATGCCTAGGACAAACTGCAGAGGGAGGCTGACCCAGACTGGTAAATGCCTCTGAAAACATTTATTCTGGCCATAATTGTGCCACCCTTTAGCTTCCTGCCCCGTGTGCTCCCTGCAGAAGGAGGGTGCTGTGGGTGGCAAACCCGCGTCCCCATTCCTGCACAAGGTCCCCCTCCGATTCCCCCTGCAGACAGCGGGTGCTGGGGATGCCAGAGCCCCATCCCCATCCCTGCACTGGGTGCCCCTCCGATTGCCCCTGCAAGACTGGGATCCCCCCCTCCTTCTTATCCTTGCATTTGGCTGCCCCTCCAGCCCTCCCTTCGGGGCTCTTCTCCCTGGGGGCACGGCTCAGATTCCCTTAGCTCCTGCAGGGATGAGCTGCCTTGGGCAGAGAGAACCTGTATCCCCCAGAGCAGCTGTTGCCTGGAGAAAAGGCTCCTAAGAGAAAAGGCTCATTCCACGCTGCCCAAGAGGGAATCTCAGGGAGTCTAAGAGAATCTGGGCCCCCAGGGAGCAGAACTCCGCAGGGGGGATTGGAGGGGGATCCCGCCCTGCCCCATATAACCAGGACAGCCAGAAACCCCTTGCCAGCCCCCTATCAGCCGAGAGACACCAGCATGGGAGGCAGTGACCATGAGATGGTCAAGTTCAGGATCCTGACACAAGGAAGAAAGGAGAGCAGAAGAACACGGATCCTGGATATCAGAAAAGCAGACTTTGACTCCCTCAGGGAACTGATGGGCAGGATCCCCTGGGAGAATAACATGAGGAGGAAAGGAGTCCAGGAGAGCTGGCTGTATTTTAAAGAATCCTTATTGAGGTTACAGGGACAAACCATCCCGATGTGTAGAAAGAATAGTAAATATAGCAGGCGACCAGCTTGGCTTAACAGTGAAATCCTTGCTGATCTTAAACACAAAAAAGAAGCTTACAAGAAGTGGAAGATTGAACAAATGACCAGGGAAGAGTATAAAAATATTGCTCGGGCATGCAGGAGTGAAATCAGGAAGGCCAAATTATACCTGAAGTCAGCTAGCAAGAGATGTTAAGAGTAACAAGAAGGGTTTCTTCAGGTATGTTAGAAACAAGAAGAGAGTCAAGGAAAGTGTGGGCCCCTTACTGAATGAGGGAGGCAACCTAGTGACAGAGCATGTGGAAAAAGCTAATGTACTCAATGCTTTTTTTGCCTCTGTCTTCACGAACAAGGTCAGCTCCCAGACTACTGCACTGGGCAGCACAGCCTGGGGAGGAGGTGACCAGCCCTCTGTGGTGAAAG